TAGCTTAGTTATTTTTTGATGTCCTTGTGGATAAGATAATTATGGGCCGAGCGCTTAAAGGAACGATTTGTGCTTAGTTGAACAATAGAACCAAAGGATCTGCCTTAAGTGTCTTTATCGAGCTGGTGAGTGGTTTCTCGTGCAGTGCTCCGGGGCACGAAGGAAGAAGCGGTTGCATTACTCAGCCTCTTCATCATTACCACTGGCTCTTCACCCCACCTGCTGGACCCATGGCTGCCCTCATTATACCTAACTGTACCCCGCTGCGCTCTCCCTGATTATCCTGGCCAAAGAGTCAACAAATCCATTTCCCCTGTCATTCAGCCAAGTCCAGTATCTTATCTGTCAAAGAGAAATTTACGAGGCAACAGAACAGAAAAACATGAAAACTTTTTATAAAGCACCAATTTTTTTCCCTAAGAAATTCCAGCCTCACTCAGGCTTGGTGCATGTGCCTTTCTGTGTGTAGTGCCAAGGTTCCTTTACTTTCCCCTCATTACCTGGCTTGGAAGGTAGACCTAGTCACTGCATGCATTTCTACCCTAAGGGAGATACGGGGTCTCTCAACTGCTTGGTCTGGTGGGATTCATGCTGTGCTCTAGAACCTGCTTTCTGATATCAGCTTCATGAATGATAACACCCTTGTCCCTGGGTCATGACCAATTTTTACCTCACAACTATCCAGGGCTCTGTGATTCCTTTATTTGAAAGGTGTATCATTGGCCCCAGAAATCTCTTCTCTAGGCTGATAGCTCCTTGCCCTTTAATGCTTTCAGACCTCTAGGAATCCTACCTTCACTCCTATTTGGTTCATCCACAGCATACTTATTGGAACTTTTAAAGTCTGATCTCTTTGGGGGTAAAGCTTTGTTTCACTTCACCATTTAAGCTAGCAGCTGGGTCTTAACAATAGCTATTGACCCAGCGGCAGCTGGACTGGACCCCATCTAAATGACCAGATTCTTTATGATGGCTTCCCTCAGGTTGCCCTATGGTGAGACCTTCTAGGATCTTATCACTGCCTTGGATAGAGAATAACTATACATACTGTTAATATAATAGTTCCCAACAGCAGCAAGGAAGAGTTTTTCCTCTTATGAAAACAGAAAAGGTGCTTTTCAAATGTTGAGATAACATGAAATGGGATGGAAAGCAAATGCTTTGGAAGCCAAATCAAAAAGATTTCAACAGTTGAGGATAGCTTGCTAAAAGAAATAGAATGGGATTTGAAGGATAAATGTGTAGTCCTGAATTGCAGTTAAAAAAAGATCACGCCTTCAAGTTCAAGCTTGGAATACCTGCCTTAATTGTGGTTTGTGCTAGGGTGGGAGTTGGAGATTTTATTTGACTAAGGAAGACCACTCTGACCTGAGTGCTAAGATGGCGTGTGCTCTTAGGTGTGTTAGCAGTACTCTGTCCAGGTTGAGAAGGGAAGCCCCAGACCCTCTGCCCAGGGATTGAGCTCTGGCAGCCTGTGGGCATAACACATTGTATTGACTAGCATACTGATTTTGAAAAATTCGGAATGGAATCTCTTTGGGTAAGGCATATACTCTCCAGTGTTAGGTATTTATGTTACTTCTCTGATTCTAAAGACTTTTAAAAAAATTTTAATTTTGGCTGCTTTGGGTGGGTCTTTGCTGCTGCGTGTGGGTTTTCTTTAGTTGCAGCGAGCAGGGGCTGCTCTTCGTTGCAGTGCGCAGGCTTCTCATTGTGGTGGCTTCTCTTGTTGCAGAGCACGGGCTCTAGGGCGCTCAGGCTTCAGTAGTTGTGGCCCACGGGCTTAGTTGCTCCGTGACATGTGGGATCTTCCCGGACTGGGGATGGAACCCGTGTCCCCTGCATTGGCAGGCAGGTTCTGTGCCACTGGCGAAGTCCCTCTGAAGACTCTTGTGGTCCTCCTTTCTCAGTCCCTTATTTAAATACTGTTCACGGATACCGGGCTCCATCCTAAGCCTACACTTTGAGAGGGACTTCATAAAATGAAGGGGATGAAGGAGAGGATGATCTGGAAAGCACGGAAATTAGATGCCAGTTCACATTGTTGTAGTTGTGAGAGCCACAGCTCTGTGGTCTGGAGAGCTGTCTTCAGGTACCTGAAGGGTTGTCATATGGAAGAGGAGTTAGATTCAGTCCATCTCTGGGAATTTTTCAGGACTGTGCACCTTACTTCAGTCACAAAGTTGAGAGGATACAGAGAGGAGCAAGTCAGTCTGTCTGTCTTCAAGGCCAGGTTTACCATACAGTGGAGGAGATACACAGAGACGGCTGTAAAACAGTAATACTCTCTGGTTGTCCAGAAGACAGAAATGAGGAGGCAGATTTCTGCTCAGTTTAGAAAGCCCTTTCCTGACAATTAGAGCTCTCCCCAAGTGGAGTGGGCTGCCTTCAAAACTAGTCACCAGTCATGTTGCCCAGCTCATGAGGATGAGCTGGAGAAGCTTTGAATGGGGGCCAGAGTAGATGATTTTTCTGCCTTTATTAATCTATGGTTCCAAGTCCCCTGACTTGCTTTCCTTTACTTACCCAAAGAGAGTTATTACCATACTGAATGCCCACGGGTTGTACTCAGTGTTTTAGGCAGACCACGCTGGGAAGAGTGTGCGGTTGCAGGGTTTCTACTGTGTGGAACTGCACTGGTGAGTTTGTCTTCTGGAGACACAAGAGCCAATAAGCAGGGACCTGGCTGGTTATCTTGTTCACGGACCTGGTAGAAGAATCTAGTGGCGTATTTGGCAGGTGCAGTCTTGTTGCTTCTTTTGTTTGTTGGTTGCATCTGGCTGTGAGGATTATGACATCCCCTTTGACTGGTGCAACACTTCATTTACTGGGACAAGTGTCCTGAGAAAAGTCTATTTCCTATGTCCCCCCCGACCCCCACCCCGCTCCAGGAATCCAGATAACATCCAGAGATTAGCTCCCAAGACAGGAGATTCCAAGTTCTTCCTCTTTGATGGTGGAACTTTAAAATAAGTCAGACTTCTATCGTCGGGTCCCTAAAAATCCCTCAGCCCTACAAAACATGTAAGTCACATTTTTGCTCCATGCAGAAGGCTAAACCAAGCAAAGGCAGCATCTCTTCACAGCCTTTGAGACAAAATCTGGCAGCACCATTCTTTTTTTTATTTTTTGCGGTACGCGGGCCTCTCACCGTTGTGGCCTCTCCCGTTGCGGAGCACAGGCTCCGGACGCGCAGGCCCAGTGGCCATGGCTCATGGGCTCAGCCGCTTCGTGGCATGTGGGACCCTCCCGGACCAGGGCACGAACCTGCGTCCCCTGCATCGGCAGGCGGACTCCCAACCACTGCACCACCAGGGAAGCCCTAGATTATAGTTGATTTACAACGTTGCGTTACTTTGTGCTGTACAGCAAAGTGTATCAGTTATGCATATACGTATATACTCTTTTTTAGATTCTTTTCCCATACAGGTCATTACAGAGAATTGGGAAGAGTTCGCTGTGTTACACTGTAGGTCCTTATTAGTTATCTATTTTCTATATAGTAGTGTGTATATGTCAGTCTCAGTCTCTCAATTTACCCCTCCCCCACCCCAAGGTAATTTTTTAAGCAGCTTTATATATTTCGCATACTATATACCATTCACCCATTTGCAGCGTACAATTCAATGGTTTTAGTATATTCACAGAGTCGTATGACCAGTACCACAATTTGAGGACATTTTTACCAGTCACTCTCCATTTCCCCTCAAAATCCTCAGTCCTAGGCAACCAACCACCCATCTACTTTCTGTCTCTATAAATTTGCCCATTCTGTACGCTTCTTATAAAGAGTCACACAACAGGTGGTCCTTTGTGACGGACTTCTTTCTCTTAGCGTAAAATAATGTTTTCAAGGTTTGTCCCTTGTCGTGTACAGTGTACTTCATCCCTTTTATTGTCAAATAATATTCCATTTTAGGAATATACTATATTTTCTTTATCCACCATCAGCCAATGGACGTTCGGGTTGATTCCACTTTTTGGCCGTTGTGAATAATGCCGCCAATAAACAATGTGTACAAGTTTTTGTGGAGAATTATATTTTCATTTCTTCTGGGAATATACCTAGAAGTGGAATTTCTGGGCCATATGATAACTTTATGTCTAACCTTTTGAGGAACTGCCAGACATTGTCCAAGCAGCTGTACCGTTTTGCAGAGGCGTTTCATAAAAGCTCCCCGTGGTGAGTCTAGATACGATTATACTGTGCTGCCCATGTGGGTTGGAACCCTCACTCTGCCTCATCTGGAAGTGAAATAACTGCAGAACAGGGATCAGCTTGTACCCGAAGGGGAGAATACTTTTAGAGCAGAACATCCACCCCTTCCAAGGTGTTCTTTTCAACCTTCTCCATCCCTCAGCTCTTGATAGTAGTCCAAGGTCAACTGAGTTCTCACTAGAGGACTGGTCAGAGGAAGGAAGGAGGAAGATTACCTATGCAGTGTCCACCTAGGGTACGGGTTGGCTGCAAAGAGTTAAGCTGATCTGGAAAACTGATCTGTGGGTTAAGTGGAGCAGAGCCACAGATGTGTAATCCCCACTTCTGAGGATGTGACATCTCTTCTTGTAAGTGTCATCACTTAGTTGGTGCTATCTGGTAAAAACTGAGTCATGAGGTGCCGACAAAAATTCCTTGCACTCAATGTGAAACTTGAGGCATCTGCTCATTCCTGAGATATTCACAGCTGTCAGCCCCGTTTTGATGGTAAACAATTTGCTGCGGATGAAATCCTGCACTGTGACTTTCCCCCGCTTGTCTGAGAGAGGCATAGACCCAGGTGGTGTGCCCTCGAGAATCTGAGCATGAGGGTGACCCGAGGATTGAGCAACACCGCCTTTCACAGAGCCCTGTTTCCAAAGCAGCCCCAGTGGAGGAAGACAGAAACCAACCGTATTGTCCCAGGAGCTTTTAAAGAACATTCCTTCCGCTGCAGATGTGCATTTCCAAAGGCTGCCTGTGGACCAGCCTGAGTGTTGTTCTCCCTTCTTTGTGTTTGCAGCCACGGCACGGGGTACGATAGTGATAACCACACCACTCCCATCCTCTGTGGTGCCCAGTACAGGATACACACCCACGGCGTCTTCAGGGGCATTCAGGTGAGTATGCAGGGGCCCCAGATGCCTCTTTCCTTCCCAACAGTCTTTCACTTCCTTGCTGAAGGCCATTTGGCCCTGGCAAGTCTGTTCCTACTTGTAGGCTCCTGTGACAGCAGGGACCCCTCCTCTTCCACTGGGGCAGGTTGGGGCCCTCCTCCTCTCCAGAGGTCAGTGTGGACGTGGCCGCCTCCCTGACTCAGACCAGGATGCTTCCTGCAGAACCCCATCCCTTCCTCCTTCACTGCCTAACTCACCTCCTCCCGGGTGGGCCACACACATCTTGTATCGGGGGGCAAATGAGCTTGAATTAATGACCTGGACTCTTGACTTGTAAGGAGACTTGGTCTGCAAGGTAAAGTGCCCAAAGTTAGAGTCTATCGTTGCTAATAATAACAATAACAATAATAACAGCACCATGTATGGCTGGACACTTTCTATGTGCCAGGCATTGTGCTAAGTTTTATATGTGGACTTCCTTTTAAAGATAGAATTCATTTTTTTCGAGCAGTTTTTAGGTTTAAGGAAGAACAGAAAGTACAGAGAATTCCCATATCCACCCCTCACCCCATCCCTTGGTCTCCTCTATTATTAACATCTTGTATTGGTGGTACATTTGTTACAATGATGAGCCAATATTGATACATTATTAACTGAAGTCCATAGTTTACATTAGGGTTCACTTTGTGTGTTGTGCAGTTCTAAGGGAGAGTAAAGAAAGTAAAGTAAAAAGGCTGACGTTTTCAGAGAATTCAGGGAACTTGATGGAAGGCCACCTCCAGGGAGCCTCTTTTGGATGCTCAGAACCATGTGCAGCTACCAAGGGTTTGTGTTTGTGACTCTGGCATGTGACTCAGTGTCTGCAGCATGAGGAACGGCTGAGATACTTTCACCGGCCTAGTCAACACACTAGAAACAAATTGTGTGTGGGCCAAGTCCTCACGTGATGTGTGGGGCAAGTGCTCTGAGATGTTCTGATTAATGTTTCCAGAAGCATCATGGTGATAGAACAGCGTGCTCCCTCATCTCAGGCCTTCCAATGGTGGGAATAAAGGCAAGGGTTACAGAAATATGATGGAAATCAGATGGAAATTAGACAAGTACCGTCAGACTCTTCCACCAGGACCAGCTGACATTGACAACTCAGATTTATAGCCTATTTGCCGTGTGTGCTGCCTTCAGGAGGAATTAAAGGAAATGTAAAAAGCTCCTTTTGCCTTCCTTTCCACCAAGCGCAGTTTGTCAGACTCGCTGTCATGGCCTCTGATACACTCCAGACCAGATGGGTGTTCATTTTCTGCTAGAGTAGACCAATCGGACATAGCTGGCTCACCATTTAAACTTATGCCACATTTTGCCTTGAGGCACTGTGTGGCCCATCAATAGCAGAGCTATATGAGACTACTGTACGTTTTCTTCAAAAAGATCTCACGGTGCAAGGCAGTGTGAAATAGGAACGCAAACAGGAGCTTGGGGGTGGTGTGGGAAGTGCACAGGGCAGGAGTGGGTTAAGCTCAGAAGGGTTTCCAGGTCTTAACACAAACTATGGCCGTGCTCTTGGGCCTTGACTGCACATCTGTGAGAACACAAGGGATACAGTGATCCCTCAGGCACTTCCACTGTTCCTGTCTGTGACTCATTGGTCCCAGGAGCCTAAGGGGCTTTTGCCTCACTGTTTCCCTGTAGCTCCTTTTCATGGAGGACCGGCCATGCACACACTCACTCGCACAAGATAAGGGGGATCAGAAGAATGCCCTGAGACGGACACGTGAAGTGGACGGAAGGTGGACACAGTGTTTCTGAGCGTCTCTAGTAAAGGATTGCCCTGGCTACACCATGGCCCTCCTAGAGTTTCAGCTCCCTTCACAGACAGAACCTCCGTATCCCAGGAGCTCCGTCTTCCTTGTCGTTTATTCATATGTGGAAGGTCTGCTCCGTTAGGGGTTCATTTAACATCCTTTGTTGTTCTCCACTAAGGACTTCCCAACCCATTGAAGATTGGGCCCAAGGTCATGTGGCCAGGTGTCCCGAGTGGGAGGGAATAGAATAGAACCTGGAGCTTTGGACTTCCAGACCTCACTGCCTCAAGAGGGGAAGCTGAGAGACAGGATGGATTGGGAGCTCTTCCAGTCACCAGCATTTCTTTTCCGGATGCTCCAGATCAACAGCACCAAACAGACTTTATTTCAAGTCCCCGTTCTGGTTGCTAGCTGTGATGATGTTGGAGCACTGAATTGTAGAATATACTGCTCTGTCACCCATTAGTGACATCTGCTGCGGGCGCCTCGGGTGTGGTGGGGAGTGGCTTAGGCCTCACATCCGCCATCCCTTCTTTGGGAATACTTCAGCGCTCACTTTCCTTGGGACCAACATGAATGTTCACATGTGCCTTAAAACCTCCATTTCTCTTACACTCTGCTTGCAGGACGTGCGGCGAGTGCCCGGAGTAGCCCCGACTCTTGTTCGGTCGGCATCTGAGACCAGTGAGAAACGCCCCTTCATGTGTGCTTACCCGGGCTGCAATAAGAGATATTTTAAGCTGTCTCACTTACAGATGCACAGCCGGAAGCACACTGGTAAGTGCGTCCAGCCTTGGCTCTGGTGGCCTTTGGGCAGCGGTGGCCCAGGAGCCCCTGCTCCTGGCTCCTGCGCTGCCGGGACACAGGTGATTTCTGGGATGGAAAGTAGGTGCTGCTTTCAAAGATCTGGCCCAGGTGATGGGAAAAGGATGCCAGGTCATTCTGTATCCTGATTGTCCATCCTTTCGTAAAGAAGGGCAGAGCAGAGTAGGTGGAGGGAGAATTCCACAGAATTAAAGAGACCTGTGTTTGAATTCTGGCTTCACCACCAGGTGGTGTGACCTTGAGCAAGTTACCTAACCGTTCTTCAAATATCACTTACCTCACCTACCTTATACAATTGTTGAGACTAGATTAACTTCTAAAATCAAATTGAATTAAAGGAGTTAGAGATGTGAAACATACAGTTCCTATGTTAATAGGTCTGAATAGATGATAGTGTTACTTTTATAATTCTATTAGTATCCCTTAAGGGAGAGGAGCTACCCTGGGAGCTTGGCAATCAGATGATTCTGAGAGCTTGATATGCAAGGTCATCATAAGACTTAGGAAAAGATGGTCCAAAGAAGAACTTAACTGCTTGGGTTAATAATAACTAACCAGATAGGAACGGGAAAATGGCTTGTAGGTTTAATTTTTGTTTTCAATCTTTAAAAAAAGGGATGATGATTTTTGATGATGTTTTAAAGAAAACTGGATTTTCCCACAGGTCAAGGGGTCTGCCTCTGGGAAAGAGAGAATTGGCCATGTGCTGTTGTTGGCTGCCTTGAATGTGAACAGCCATTTCACAAATGTCTGCTCCTGGCCTTGTGGGCACTAGATAGGAGTGTGGCTAGGTCTCCCCTACAGAAAAGCCGGGCAAAGCACAGGCTTTCCTGCTGGGGAGTTGGTACCATTCTTTCCACGACAGAAGGGAAGCTACATTGTTATGATTACCATTATTATTTTATTGTTACTGTGGACTTTGCTTTGGAGAAGCTGGAGAAGAAAGTGAGCTGCATTCAGATCTCTTTAGACCATTGGTCTTTGCTAAGCCGTTGCGTCTGGAGGATGCAATTCTGGCATAGACCTGAGTTTGCACTCAGTAAACCACTCGCTTTGAAGCTGAAGATGAGAGAACCAGTTGCATGTTATATTTTTACATATTTCCCCAAATGGGATCATTTGAAAACTGTCTGTTAAGATTATAAGGAAGGGCTTCCCTGGTGGCGCAGTGGTTGAGAGTCCGCCTGCCGATGCAGGGGACACAGGTTCGTGCCCCGGTCCGGGAAGATCCCACATGCCGCGGAGCGGCTGGGCCTGTGAACCATGGCCGCTGAGCCTGCGCGTCCGGAGCCTGTGCTCCACAACGGGAGAGGCCACAACAGTGAGAGGCCCGTGTAACGCCAAAAAAAAAAAAAATGATGTTATAGAAAAAATTAAAATAAAAAAACAAACAAAAAAACCAATGGGTCAGGCTTCCCTGGTGGCGCAGTGGTTGAGAATCTGCCTGCTAATGCAGGGGACATGGGTTCAAGCCCTAGTCTGGGAAGATCCCACATGATGTGGAGCAACTAGGCCCGTGAGCCACAACTACTGAGCCTGCGTGTCTGGAGCCTGTGCTCCGCAACAAGAGAGGCCGCGACAGTGAGAGGCCCGCGCACCGCGAGGAAGAGTGGCCCCCGCTCGCCGCAACTGGAGAAAGCCCTCGCACAGAACACAACACAGCCAAAAATAAATAAACAAATAAATTTATTTTTAAAATAAATAAATAAACCAATGGGTCAACGATGAAATCAAAGAGAAAATTTTAAAAATACCTTGAGACAAATGACAATGAAAACACAACCATACAAAATCTATGGGATGCAGCAAAAGCATTTCTTAGAGGGAAGTTCAAAGCGATACAGGCCTTCTTAAAGAAACAAGAAAAATCTCAAATAAACAATCTAACTTACCACCTAAAAGAATCAGAAAAAGAAGAACAAACAAAACCTAAATTCAGCAGAAGAAAGGAAATAATAAAGATCAGAGAGGAAATAAATAGAGATTTAAAAAACAGTAGGAAAAATCAATAAAGTCTAGAGCTGGTTCTTTGAAAAGGTAAACAAAATTGACAAACCTCTGGCCAGGCTCACCAGGAAGAAAACATCGAGGGCCTAAATAAACAAAATAACAAATGAAAGAGGAGAAATCACAACTGATACCACAGAAATACAAAAAAGTACGAGAATACTATGAACAATTATATGCCAAAAAACTGGACAACCTATGGACAATTATATGCCAAGAAATGGACATGTTTTGTTTCTAGAAACATACAGCCCACCAAAACTGAATCTCGAAGAAATAGATAATTTGAACAGACTGAACAATAGAAGTGAAATAGAACCTATAACAACAACAACAAAAAACTCCCTACAAAGAAAAGTCCGGGACCAGATGGCTTCACAAGAGAATTCTACCAAACATACAAAGAAGAACTTATACCAATACTTCTCAAACTCTTCCAAAACACTGAAGAGGAGGGAACACTCCCAAAAACATTCTATGAAGGCACCGTCACCCTGATACCAAAACCAGACAAAGACACCACCAAAAAAGGAAAATTACAGGCCAATATCTTTGATGAATATAGATGCAAAAATTCTCAACAAAATATTAGCAAATCAAATCCAACAACACATAAAAAGATCATGCACCATGACCAAGTAGGATTTACCCAAAGTTCACAAGGATGGTTCAATATACGCAAATCAATCAAGGTGATACACATCAACAAAAGAAAAGACAAAAACCACATGATCATCTCAATAGATGCAGAAAAAAGCATTTGACAAAATTCAACATCCGTTCATGAGAAAAACTCTTACCAAAGTGGGTATAGAGGGAACATATCTCAACATAATAAAAGCTCTTTATGACAAACCCACAGCCAATATAATACTCAATGGTGAAAAGCTGAAAGCCTTCCCACTAAAATCTGGAACAAGACAAGGATGAGCACTCTCACCTCTTCTGTTCAACACAGTACTGCAAGTCCTATCCACAGCAATCAGACAAGAAAAATAAATAAAAGATATCCAAATTGGAAAGGAAGAGGTAAAACTGTCAATATATGCAGATGACATAATGCTATATATAGAACACCCTAAAGACTCCACACAAAAACTGCTAGAATTTTTAAACGAATTCAGCAAGGTAGCAGGATACAAGATTAACATACAGAAACCTGTTGCATTTCTTTACACTAACAATGAAACATCAGAACGGGAATGTAAAAAACAATACCTGTTAAAATCACACCCCCAAAAATAAAATACTTAGGAATAAACCTAACCAAGTAGGTGAAAGACTTACATGCTAAGAACTATAAAACATTAATAAAGGAAATTGAAGATGATTCAAAGAAATGGAAAGATATCCCATGCTCTTGGACTCAAAGAATTAATATTAAGATGGCCATACTGCTCAAAGCAATCTACAAATTTAATGTGATCCCTATCAAATTGCCCATGACATTTTTCACAGAGGTAGAACAAATAATTCTAAAATTTATGTGTAACCATAAAAGACCCAGAATCACGAAAGCAATTCTGAAGAAAAAGAACAAAGTAGGAGGAGTAACCCTCCTTGACTTCAGACAATACTACAAAGCTACAGTAATCAAAATGGCATGGTATTGGCACAAAAACTGACATATGGATCAATGGGACAGAATAAACCCACATACCTACAGTCAATTAGTCTTTGACAAAGGAGGCAAGAATATACAATGGAAAAAAGACAGTCTCTTTAGCAAGTGGCATTGCAAAAGTTGGACAGATGCATATAAATCAATGAAGTTAGAACACACCCTCACACAATACACAAAAATAAACTCAAAATGGCTTAAAGACTTAAACATAAGACATGACACCATAAATCTCCTAGAAGAGATCATAGGCAAAACATTCTGTGACATAAATCATACCAATGTTTTCTTAAGTCAGCCTCCCAAAGCAAGAGAAATAAAAACAAAAATGAACAAATGGGACCTAATCAAACTTAGAAACTTTTGCACAGCAAAGGAAACCATAAACAAAACGAAAAGAAAACCTACAGAATGAAAGAATATATTTGCAAACAATGCAACAGTCAAGGGCTTAATTTCCAAAATACACAAACAGCTCATACAACTCAACAATTAAAAAACAACAACCCAGAAAAACAGGCAGAAGAAATTGAGTTATTTGTAGGGAGGTGGATGGACCTAGAGACTGTCATACAGAGTGAAGTCAGAAAGAGAAAAACAAATACCGTTTGCTAACACATATATATGGAATCTAAAAAAAAAAAAAAAATGGTACTGAAGAACCTAGAGGCAGGACAGGAATAAAGACACAGATGTGGAGAATGGACTTGAGGACACAGGGAGGGGGAAGGATGAGCTGGGACGAAATGAAAGAGTGGCATGGACTTATATATACTACCAAATGTAAAATAGATAGCTAGTGGGAAGCAGCTGCATAGCACAGGGAGATCAGCTCAGTGCTTTGTGTCCCCCTAGAGGTGTGGGATAGGGAGGGTGGGAAGGAGATGCAAGAGGGAGGGGATATGGGGATATATATATATATACATAGAGCTGATTCACTTAGTTATACAGCAGAGACTAACACACCATTGTAAAGCAACTATACTCCAATAAAGATGTTCAAAAAAAAAAAAATACATGCATCCCTGTGTTCATAGCAGCATTATTCACAATAGCCAAGACATGGAAAGAACCTAAATGTCAGATGAATGGATAAAGAAGATGTGGTACATATACACAATGGAATACTACTCAGCCATTTAAAAAAGAACAAAATAATGCCATTTGCAGCAGCATGGATGGACCTAGAGATTATCATACTGAGTGAAGTCAGAAAGAGAAAGACAAATACCATATGATATCACTTATGTAGAATCTAAAACATGACACAAATGAACTTATCTACAAAACTCAAACAGACTCACAGACATAGAAAACAGACTTG